CCCGGAATAACCTCAATCCGATGATCAACCTCACGGCTAGGGGGTAGCTCTGGTGGCAAATCCTTCGGGAAGATATCCCGATTCTGCGCCAACAACTCCAATATCTTCTTTGGTACAGGATCAACCCCGTCGCCAATTCGAACAGAGTCACCCACACTCTCAGCTTCCATCACTTGAACCCAAAAGGTCCAACATCCCCTCTTAGTTGCTTTTTGAGCGGCCCTCGCAGTCAGGAACTTTCCATCCCAATCCTTTGAGGAACGCTTTTGCAACTGGAAGGACACATCGGGTCGTCCTTCGGACTTCAACATGATACGACTTTGTCCAGCACCATAAATCCCTTTTATATACTTGTTGAAGAAATCCATACCAAACACCATCTGAAAATCTGGTATTTTCAACACTACCAAGTCCACTCTTTCTTTCCACTTGGATATCTTTATTGGAACATCACTTACAAACTTTCTGGCTACTTGCCCATCTTCCGCAAACCGGAAGTGCATAGGCAACATTTGCTCAGCATTCAATCCTAACAACTTAACTAAGTCTTCGGATATCACGTTGTGCGTAGCTCCTGTGTCAATCATCACTCGGATTCGGTGTCCACGGACAAAGCCTACCAAATACATCAACGGATTAGTGTTTGCATTGACTGCAAGAAAAGCTTGGGGAAAGCAACGAAAGTTACTCACCTCTTGCTCCTCATAGTCTGCATTGACCAACTCGTCAACCCCTTCAGCCTTATCACCACCGTCTGCCCTCATGACATTAACTCGAGACTTTGTCTTATGCTTGTTGGGACAATCCGAGGACCTATGTTCTGACTCTCCACAATGGAAGCAATGACCCACACTACCCGTTCCGCTAGGAGCAGGTTTTGCAGGTTGCTGCTGCTTGTACCCACCAGGAGGAGGAACAGAGGGCCTAGGACCAGAAGAAGCTGTTGGTGGTCTCCAACCACCACCACCTTTGTTAACTGTTGCTTGTGAGCGACCAGGGTGGAACCTGCTTTCCACCCTCTGTTTCCGATCACCTTATTTATTTCCAGAATTCTTATTCTTATCCGAGTTACCAGCATACGGTTGCTGATATTGTTCCATGAGTGAGTGACTAAAGGCAACTTGCTGCGCTGCCTCCTTACACTCCAGGTATGTCTTCGGCTTAAACTTCAAAATCTCATTATGAGAAAATGAACTTAAACCCTCCAAAAAATAACTCCGAGCATCTTTGTCACTCATATTTACAATCATAATGCACTTCTGAGCAAACGCATTAACGTAATGCATGAGATCCCCTCGCTGCTTTAACCGCCGCAGCTCCGCGCGAAGTCTCAGACCAAAATCATCCGGCAAGTATTCCTTACGGATACAAGACCGCATCTTGGTCCAACTTCTAGTCTGCCCTTTTTCAGCACACACTTGGCGCCACCAAGTTTTGGCATGATCGATGAGAAATGATTGCGCGCACACAACTTTCATACGATCATCTACATCTGCCGCTATGAAGTAGTTCTCCATATCGTAGACCCAATCTTCCAAAACCTAATAGTCCCGCATGCCTCTGAAGTTGGGTGGTTTCGGAGGCTTGAACTTTGAAACTCGTGCAACCGGGGGTGGCTGCAGAACTTCATCATCCTCAGAACTTGAAGAGGAGTCTGGTTGCTAGGCTTAGCTGGTTTAGCTGCCTCAGCTTCTTTCTTCCTCTTCTTGTTCTCCTTCTTCAATTTGCGAATCTCCTTTCGCAAATTCTCGATCTCGACTTCCTGAGCCGTACATTGCAACGCCGCAGCATTTGGCTCTTCCTCTTCTGACTCAGCCTCTGCCTCTTCCGCAACATCTCTGATACCAAATGTATAGTAGGGATAGTGGTTGGAATGCATGTCCGACCACCTGAGACATTAGTTTGGCTCCCGCTGGGCTGTGTCGCTCCTTGTTCTGCGTCCGGGCCAAGTATGCTTGGCAAAATAGACACTTAGGAATTCCGTCCTTATGCTCATCCGGCCAAGTACAGATGCTAAGTCTAGTTTACTAACACTTGGACAAGAGGGGCCAATAAAGGGAACTAGCAGTACCGACCTCCTGCCGTCATGGTAGTAAGGAGAGAGTGCCCGTAAGGACTGGTCGACAAGTATCTTTCGATACCTGAAGTCACATTCGCGACACCTGTGACAAGCATTACAAATGACAGTAGGGATCCCTGCGTCGACACCTTTCACACAGCAACACTGCCAAAATGCTTAAGCACTTTGGTGTTCTAATTGAAGGCCTAGAACTCAAGGTTGTTACCTGCGGAGCTCCTCCCTTGGGCGGCAGTGAAGTCGTCCTTAAAGTTCCCATTGTCCCCAAGAGCCTCACGGTCAGTTTCTCCAAACTCCTCTTCTTTTCTTTCTCTCCTCGCTAAGAATCCTTCACCAGGCTGCTACTGTAAGCGACTAATTTTTCCATTCTACTTTAGTCACTTAACCACACCTCCGACCACTTGGAGGAGTCTCATTCACAACCTCCATAAGTCCCATTCAGGACTTGGGGCTTGCTATCCCCGAGAGTGGCATCCATGCCACTCAACCTTTGCACTTGGTCCAAGTGCTCCACGTGTCCGATCCCAAGACCGACACCCAAAGGTACCACTGACATCTCGGCCCGTTACGCTAAGGCCATGCCCACTCACTTTTGCTGCACTAGTGGTCCAATACCACTTGCATCACCATCCCGTCTCTCCAAGACTGGGCCATGTGTCCACGAGTGGTCATCCTAGATCCACTCCTTAGCATCCTTAGGATGCCCACAGACCTGGGGAATCGCCTTCCCCAAAGTCCCTTTGTCAGTTCCTACCAAGTCCCTTTCTGCCCCTGGCTGTGTTTGCCAACACTGCCACTGGATCGAGGCCCACAGGCCCGACCACTAAGTCCCATGGTCCTTTGGGACTTCCTCACCACACGACTGTGTCCTTGGTCACTACCCCAGAGGACTGCTCCTCTCCCTTTCCACAGTCTAGGCCTTTGGGACAACATTTCGGAACACCGTGGCCTTACGCGAGCCACCTGGGTACTCTCCCCGCCTTTCGCCTTTAGGTGCTCTAGCCATGGGCTTAGAGCGAGGTTCCATTGAGCCACACCTGGTATCCAAGTAGGTAGTGCCACCCTCACTTGGACTGGGAGCATCGGCCAATCGATCTCCCGGGGAACCTAGAGCCGGCTCTTGAACACTTCACCAAGCTACCCCGCTTGTCGGTCCGTGTTCACTCTAGTCTTGGACTTCCCAGTGGGCAGCTCATCACCCAACACTGGGTCCGGCCTTCCTGGGCCAAACTGGCCTTTCCTGGCCAAACTGGCTCCACTGCAGTCCTCCCCCTACTATACTTTTGGGGCTCACCAAACCCCCCAGGGTCTGGGAGACGAACGCTTTGGGCTTTCACCCTCTCAGGCTCCGGACTCGGACTCGGACTCGGACTCGGACTCGGATTCGGACTCGGACTCGGGCTCGGGCTCGGTCTCGGCCTCGGCCTCGGTCTCGGTCTCGGTCCCGATCTCGGTCTCGGTCTCAGTCTCGGTCCCGGTCTCGGTCCCGGTCTCGGTCCCGGTCTCGGTCTCGACTTCGGACTCCATCTCGGACTCCATCTCGGACTCCATCTCGGGTCCATCTCGGGTCCATCTCGGACTCCATCTCGGACTCCATCTCGGGTCCATCTCGGACTCCATCTCGGACTCCATTTCGGGTCCATCTCGGGTCCACCTCGGACTCCATCTCGGGTCCATCTCGGACTCCACTTCGGACTCCAACTCGGGTCCATCTCGGGTCCACCTCGGACTCCATCTCGGACTCCATCTCGGACTCCACTTCGGACTCCAACTCGGGTCCATCTCGGGTCCATCTCGGACTCCACTTTGGACTCCAACTCGGGTCCATCTCGGGTCCATCTCGGACTCCACTTTGGACTCCAACTCGGGTCCATCTCGGACTCCATCTTGGACTCCATTTCGGGTCCATCTCGGGTCCACCTCGGACTCCATCTCGAGTCCATCTCGGACACTCCCACGTGTCATGTGTTGGTCCTTTTGGGTCCCTTTTTGGAGCCTTGCCTTTTGCTCGCTTCGTGCTCGTTCCTCGAGCACTTCGTTGGGAGTTCCACTCCCGCTCTTGACTTTTCAAGTCGGAGCTTTTGGTCCAAACGTGTTACGCTCGTTTGGCTTTCGCTTCAGCCACTACCATGTGGCGCCCTTCCGGCTCCACTTTGGGGCCTAGGGATTTTGTGTCTCACAGCTACATGGGTGGACGAGGGCATGGTGAAACGTATCTGAGGAGTAAGTTACTCCACACACGTCTCACCTCATATGGCCAATCGAATGTGGCGTGCTAAATCGCTTGCTCCCCAACATGTACATCTTTACTGATCACTACACTGGTTCGGAGTCCGGGAAGTAAGTTCCATGATTTTGTGCTGCAAAGTAAACTTTTTTCATCTTGCTTCCTTTGTCATGGCACAGATCTCCAGGCTATGGGATCTCACTGGTGGCAGAAACGACCACCGGCTGCATTTTAAGCTCCGAGTGTGCGGCTACGCATTCAGGAGCATCTGAGCTCCAGCTTCTAGAGGACCTGGGGACGCAAGCAGCCATGTCCTTGCTACAGGAGATAAAGCTGGGAGGAGTTGTAGATTCAACTCACCAGGTATCTATCTGTGAAGTTGGAAAGGAAAGAAGGTGATCTCACAAACTTTCCTGTTTGCCATACAGGGTTTGTTGTTCATCCTCTGTGCTCTGTGCCCGGAAGATGTTTCTAAAGTCAGGGTTGGTAAGCTCTCTTCTTACGGTATCAAGACGCTACAACACATCAAAGAATTCCTGGGAGTGCAGTTTAGTATCAAGCCTGACCCGGCGATAGGCACGGTTCTACTTACGTGCATTGGAAGTGGCTTCCAAAATCTCTACAGGAAAGTTTCATGAGTCACTAGGGCCATAGCTCTAACAAAAGGAAACCGAATCAGTTACATGGAACTTTTTCTTACCACGCTAGAAGCCATCGGTCTTTTCTAGCAGCAGCGCGTCCACTCTCCTTGATGTGCACAGCAATTTGAGCTGCAGCCTCAAACTCCAGCCAGCCATCCATGACGATCATCTGCCTCTCATCGTCATCATCTACTGATGCTCCCACTGAAGATAAGAAGCTGGAATACACTTTGGATGTGTTCACTATGTCCGTCACTACCAGCTGGGCGCTCTCGAAGTCCGGATGGCGGTGAGCTCCTGGAGGAACTTGAGCATGCAGCTGAAGATCGAGAACATTTTCCCATTAAATGTCTCCCGCATCAAACGTTGATGTCTTTTAGTGACTCAAGAACAGCATGAGGCGTGGGCCTTTTAGACACAATCAGTCGAAAAAGCGTCTTAACCTGCAAAGAATTCCAATGAAACCAGTTCCAGTTAATAAGGAGACACTTTGTATCTCCCGAACTATTTTTTGCTGTATATCCTGATGAAAATGGCAGTAAGAGGTGTGAGAAAAATTCCAAGTTGAACTAACTCACAGTGAAACCCTGCCTCCCCCCCACCGCAATATAGACTGTAGTTCAAAGTTCGTTACTTGAGAACAAAGAGTGAAAAATAAGTCATGATGAGAACTCCCCAAATCTCATGAACCGCACAAATCTAACTTAATTTTTCACAGGCATTTTGCACAGGCATCTGCCTATCCTCACTCAAAAGTAGTCACTTTACTTTTAAACCACATTAGATCAAAAGTGAAAAAGATCAAAATGTTGAAACCATATTAGAAGTTAAAAAGTAAGGTTTATTACTAGATGATTAGGGTTTCTCTCAAACAGACATCATTTTTTGGCTAAATCACAACTGTGGGGGGCTTTAACAATAAAATTACATATTATATTTTTATATGTAGCCTTAGTTATTTATAATTGTCAGAAAAATCTACGATAATGTATGTAGTATTTGATTAAACAATAATATTTTAAAATATTTTTACTAATTTATAGTATATAATACTATGGAATATAAGATTTGAATTTATTATATATATTTACAAATACTTATTTTTTTGATTGGATCTAGGTAGTAATATATTAATGTTCCTAAAAACTTATTGTTTTATATTTTGAGTAAAACTTATAATTAATTAATGTTTTGCAGTAATTATTCTCTTTTATTTGTTTTTAATTTTTTATTTGTCAATTTGTTTCTAAATATATTCATATTTCTAAATAATAAATTTGTATATAATATTTTTATGAATGAATATATTTTGTTCTAAATAGTTATATTATCAAGTTTACAAGAATTTATTTTTTTGTCATCTAGCATTTTCTAGGCATAATTCTCTCAATTAAAGTGGAATATAATATTTGTTGTTTTAATACTATTCCAATTTAGTTTTTAATATATTAAAGAATCAAAACAGTATTTTGCTAATTACACAGCATATGCTGGGCAAGTGCTAGTATATTGTTATAATACCCTTTTTCAATTGGAGAGAGATAAAGTGCACTACAATATAAAGAATGAATTATTTTTATTTTTGCAATTCCTTGATATCAATAATATATTTATGAATATTTTTGCATTTTATGCTTGAGTGCTCAAGATAGGTATATTTATTGGGGTTTAGACTTATATACAAGAATGGATGGACTAAATTTAATCCTTAATAGTCTATATGCTATAGTACTATAATTAATGTATTATGTAGCCAGGGTAATACACACACAGATATATATATATACATATACACACATATACACACACACATAAATCTTACACATTTAAATTAAATAATTTTCATCTTTAATAAAAATATTTTTCACATTGTCCTACATTACAACCATTCTTATGATTTTTGTATAATTTTTATCATATATCGCTGTGAATAAGTTTAAATTTTTTAATGCTTGGGTGAAATAATTTAGAAATAGTAATAAATCTTGTTTAGAAGTGTAAAACAAAACTCTAAGTTATAAAAAAAATTTAAATGATCCAAACCATTTTAGAAATTGGATAGTATATAGAAAATATTAATTATAATTTTTAACTACTATTTCATTATTTTGCACTTCAACTTTATTGATATTTTGTATAAATTGAATTTTTTATCTTAGAATGTACTAAAGTAGTGGAAAGAGAAAAAATTAATGGCCTTTAGACACAAAACAAATAATTTATACATTTTAAGCACTTCTAAAATTTTAGGTGACAAATGGAGTTACTGAATTTTATTAAAACTATTATCATTTTTTATTTTCTAAAGATGATTCAGAGGAGTGACAAAAATATAGTTTTAATGGTTTCAAAACATAAACACATTATTTATACTAATTTAACTAAGAAAATTCAAATTAGAAAAAGTTGAATGGCAGAAAAAATTACAACCATTAGAATGAAGAATATTCTAAAGTTACAGATAAATTTCTTATAAAATATTAATAATAATGACGTAAGTAAGATTTCTTTTATAGGCATGTCCCACCCGATCGTTCAGTTGCAAACTAAATGTCTTAAGGAACATTAGCTTTATACAGGAAATTATAAGGTATCATAATGAGTATGGATAGGCATTATATAGTCATGTGTTGGTTTGGAATCACAAACTAAGATCAAGGCTTTGGATTTAAAGGGTCCCATAATCAAGTAGTCAAGGAAAGGTCCAAGCCAAGCACTCACAACATGAAATAAGTTAATATTAACGAGGTCAAAAGTACACTAAAGGTTCACACTTTCACTCGATAAAGTTGTCCAGCTTACACTAAAGTTTGTTTAGCAAGCTTGCTTACTTGGCCATCATCTCTTGAAATGCCTTTGATTTTACACCACCATCAAAGAGTTGCAAGCGACACAAGGCCATGACTTCCAAAGTGTCACTGCATTGTTAGTAATATAGAAAAAAACATTTTACACAAAAGAACTGCTGTTCATCTTTTAATTTCCACTTCCACAATTTTTCTTGTGCTTCTTTCATCTTGCACTAGATGAAAGCCTCCTCAATAGGACTGTTTGCCATCTTTCTGTGAGAAGGCCTAAGTAGAGGGCTCTTGGAACTGGGCAAAGCTTCTTAGCTCTTTTAACATGCATGACATGCCCAGGCTCTTTCCATGTGAGGTACCTCGACTTATCATAAACCTGTGCGCTATTTAGTATGCTCCAAATATCTTCCACACTGGCTACTTTGCTGCATCCAGAGTTTTTCTCAATGCTGTATCAAGAAAAATCTTCTTGACAGCTTCCTTTGCTTCTCTCTTGATTCAAGGGATTGTCAGGACTGAGACTGACACCCCAGAGTTCAAACGCTGGGCCAGTTTTAAACCAACACATCTGTATAGAGAGGAACTTTGTCTTGTAAAATCAAATAAAAACAAATATTGCACTCATGATAACAACAACAGCTTATATCATGAATATTGATTCATATGAGATTTCAGAAAAAAAAGGTGCTTATTAAATAATAATGAAAAATCTATAAGATGACCAAAATAAACTTGCAATTATCTATATAGGAATCAAGCCCAAAAGATTATAAGAATTTTAAAGAATCATTGTATTGGATTTAGCAGATTTGTGTGAATTATTTTTAAGTTGCACTTTTTCTATTTATTATAAACATATACATTTATGGAAAGGAGTTAGTGCAAATTTTTTCTCTTTTTTACCAATTAGTAAATAATCCCCTAGTGAGCATCATGAATTTATAAAAACAACTTACAAAGCTAAACAAATTAAAGACATGCAAATATCTTGGCAAGTACTTTCATTAACATCTACATTAAAAATGCCATATTTTTTAAAAGTAAGAATGATAATATGTTTACTTTCCATTCTTTTTTCAGCCCACTAGATGAAAAAAACATATGGAGCTGAATTAATGTATACCAAATTCCTTGGGCATCATTGATTTTCTTTACAAAAAAAAAAGCAAATAAAATGAACTCAATATGGAAAGCAATCAACAGGCTATTACAATAATAGTTCCATCATCCATCACTCAAAGGAAGGGAAGTTACATATAAGCAAAAGCAAATCTTCCCCCACTCTGTTTAACAGAGTCTAATGAATGTTCATTCTTTCTTAACGATACTTTTTGAAATAAATGGGTAAGAATCAATGGATATTATTTTTTTTCCGAATGCTCAAAATCTAAAGCTTCCAACCTATATGTTTATATTTATACTTATCTAAAATTTTAAAGAGTTCAGTTTAGCTAGCTTAAACTTTAGTCAGAGAAGTGAACTCGATCAACACCATGCCATCACAACTCCACTGGTTATTCTCAGGATAGTTGTTCTTGAATGCCACAAGGTCACCTTAATTTTGAGGAGCCACAAGCTGAGTAAATAGAAACGTCAAAACTGTGTCGGTGCTGAAGGGTCAAATGCAAGAGGTCATAAACCCTCATGCCAATTTTTATAAAACCAATCGTACAAGCAGTTCCTGTGCATAATCAAGATGCCCGACTTGGGCACTATGGTGGAAGTGTATAAGTAGCGAGCATTACATTCCAGCAGGCAGGATCAAGCTCTGGCATTCTTTCAAATAATGGCAATTACGTTTTAAGTAAAATTTACATCATGTGGAACACTGGAGTCTTGGTGAAAAACTCGGGGCGAGGAATCCAAGCATCGCTGTTCGCCCGTTCCAGCGCTCCGCCATGGCTCTAAACGGCCCAATTGATCTACTGTCGGGGCTCTCGCCCTTAAACATGGGCACCAGCGACGCGTACGCGAAAAGCTGTGCCACCGTTAGGAAATGGAAAAGACCAGTGCTCCCCGGAGAGTAGAGCTGCTCCGCCACCGTTTGTCCCGTCATTCGCTCCATTGCGGATGCCCACACCAATCCAACCATTGCCTGTTTGACAAGTTCACGTTACTTACTTGGTTGATCTAGAAAAAAACGCGAAGAAAAATCACCACTCGCTTACCAGTCTTCCGTTGATCGTTTCCGGGCCGGCTCCATCGAACGCCATCAAGCTGGGGAACGATCGATCGCCAGTCTCTGGTCGCCTCTCGACCTCTGGCCTGGGATAGAATGATCCGGACGATGGGACGGCTCCAAACACGGAGCGCTTCTCCGACTCGTTCTCGGCCTGGTTCTTGAGCACCTCCTCGCGGGTTATCTCCTTCTTGGTGCCGTCGAGAACGCCGCTGATGCCGCCATCGCCACCATCCCTTGATTTGTTCGAGGACGCTCTTACTACTACTAGATTTCTTGTCCCGATGGAGCTTGTGGGCGATTGCGATTGGACATGAAGCTTGTTGGAGATGAGCGAGGAAGAAGAGAGAGCTGTGATGCTGCTGCCTGAGACGAGTGCCATTGTTTTGAGCTGCAAGTTAGCTAGCAAAAAATTCAACTGTTCAATGAATTTACAATGAGCTACTTTCTTTTACGTTTGAGATAAATGGGCACACAGATATTTATACGGTATGGCCGAAGGCGAAACTTCTCTAGAGAATGCAAGGTGTGATATTTTGGGCTTTCGTTTCGTTTTCCAATCGAATTCGTACACGGGGATGCTCTTTTGTCTGCACAATAAGCGTGTTAATGTAATGCCGTTAGAAAGACTCGAGTGCTCGTCTAGTGCATCAAACATGACTATCTCCCCGGTATCACGAAGAAAAAAACGCAAATTTCAAGACTACTTTCAAACATTAAACAAGATGAAAAAAAGATTTTGTAATCCACTTGAGAGCTGGTTATCTAGTGTGGATTTGGCAAAGCTTCATTCATATACACATTTCAAAGGGATTCTCAGTATTGTTGAATGTTATGTAATCACATATTCAAGTTCTACTAAAGGAATTCCCTCTTTCTGATGATGTTATATATGCTCTAACTTCTCAAGATCAGTCTTCTAAGTTACCTTCATCTAACAAAAACATCTTTCACAATGCACTCAATTTGCTTATGTTTAGAAAAATTGAGGATAACATATAACTCAAAGACAAAGAAAACAAATGCACTTTCTAGTCATTATTCCTTATTTTGTGATGGGAAAAAGTCCAATAATGGCAAGCTAACTCATTCTTGCAAACAATCACAATAACTTTAGCTAATGAATGCAAATATAGAGCTGTTTTGTTGGGAGTTGAGTAAGCTTTGTGTTTGGTGTCAAGCATCTTTACATGCACTTGGGTTTTTTGCTTCTTTCCAAGCAACTAAGTGGGAGGGTTCAGCTTCAACATTTTGGATTGCAAGTTTTTCATAAGAAACTACCTTAACGGGACATGGTTCGCCCATTAACTTGATCTAGCCATTGGTAGCCATCCGATGAAGTCAAGTTTTCTGCCAGAACGTGGCTGACAACTGCCAAAACCCAGTTGCCAGTTGCCAGGTTTTGGAGAACCAGGCTACCAGCTGCCAATTCTGGAGAACCCTTTTATCCTCAAATAACATTTTTCCATGTATCTGTTAACAGTCTCGCCACAGCTTGTTAAGGCCATTCCATGGGCACGGGCTTGCTCGTTCCCTCCAGAAGTCACTCGCCAGGGTAACACCTGGGGGCGGGAACATGCTCACATTACCTGGGAACTCCTTCATCACCTTTTAGCTCAATTGTCATCTTGGAGCATTGAGCATGTTCCTTACACATCAAATGATGTTGATGATATGCTAATGTAGCAAGGGTTGTGGACAACTAAGAGAATCTATCCCACAGATTGCAACACAATAATGAACTTGATTAAATTGAAGGTGCAAGTCTTATTGGCTGAATTGGCAACAATTCTTTTGGATTTGCCGATTAAAAATAATGAGCCAAAGTTATTGTTTGCTAGGAAGGAGTTGACATTGAGGAGAGGAAAGTATTACAAGATTTCCTTGGTGAGTTTTTAAATGTTTTTGCATGAGACTACTTGGAGCTGAAAGGCATTTCACCAAACATTATTATCCACAATTGAAGCAACTCAATCCTCTTCTTGAGCCATTGGTTAAGAAAAAAGTCCACAAATTGATAAGGAAGGCACATGCATTCCTTTTCCCACCAATGTCAAAATATATTTTCTGTCAATTTTTCTGAGTTACAAAAGGATTACATGTAACACAGTGATTGGTATGAGACAGGAGGAGATATTTGCTATGGAAGAAGCCACATGAGATTTCTTTTAAAATATGAGCCTAAGCTTTGTCAATAGGGACAACATCACTTTTCTGGTATATCCAAAAAGTGATTTTTATCACTGTTGATCAGATTAGATTCCTTTATTGAATGACAGCTCCAACTAGGTTGACAGATTCAACTTCTCACTACAAATTATCAAGTATTTTTCAAAGGTATAACTTGTTTATTCAAAATATATAGACATCTTTAGAGTCACTGCAACACCTGTTTAAGCACGGGACCTTCCTAATGTTTTCTAAGCTAAGTGATAAGTTTATTTGGCACCACCATAGCATGACCATGGCTGATAATTAATTGCAGCTCACTAGGAGCTTGGTGGAGAGTAGTTACAAGCTGTTTTGCCGAGGTGTTGTTGTGGAAGTAGTGCCATGATGCTGCAAAGATGATGCTTAATGTCAACATCTAACTTACTTTCTTGGTCTTGATCCTGGAAGTTTTGGAGTAATTCTAGTACTGGTCAATTCCAGAGGTAGAAGCATTAGGCTCTGATGCAGTAGCGATAGAAGTGTCGATTCTAAATGATTGTGGGCTAAATTTTATATGGTGTGAACCCAGTGCAATTTTCAGCACAATCATCCTTCATCACACTTGACAATGCTAAGAGTACAAGGCAATGGGCAGATTTCTCTTGTCCTATGAGCAATGTGATTCTTGGACTGTATGTCTTCTCTAATCCATGGCTTTCACCCACAACACCCAATGAACTTCTTCTCTTTCAGCTAACATGCCTGTTATTAATTAGCCAACATGATTTTTATTACTGAGCCTGGGATCCAACAGTCAACAAGCCTCCCCACTATCACTTTGTATATATAGAGCTTTATATATATAGACGAGCGCCAGTTCCGGGCGGAGCCGGAGCCCTAGAAAGCGCTTGGCCAAGCCGGCCGAGGATTCCAGCCGCTTGCACGTCAGCCAGCTCTCGAGGAATGCGAACGAGTCCCATCTCAAGGAGATTTTCGGTAGGCTCCCATGGGTTCTAGCGCGAAACTTTGATCTTTTTGCTTTGTGTAGGGAACTATGGGGATATTATTGCTGTGGATCTTGCGATGGACAAGACGGTAAGGATAAAGAACACTTCTTCCTGACAGCATTCTCGCGTAGGCTTCTCTTTTTTTTCTTCTAAATTTCCCCTCTTTCCAGGTGAATCTTCCAAAGGGATTTGCGTACGTGGATTACAAGAGCAAATCGGATGCTGAAAAAGCTCAACAGTTCATGGATGGGGTTGGCATTCTTTTTCTTTCTTTTCTTTGTTTTTTTTTTCTGTGTGTGGGACTTACACTTTTTTTTTCCCTTGTTTGTAGGCTCAAGTCGATGGACTCGTCATCAGTGTAAAGCTCACAAGAAAGGTATCCCCGGCACGAGGGGTGTTTCCAAAGCGAGACGCTGCGCCACCGCGACGAAGGCCACCAGCTTCGTCGCCGGTAAGGCGACGGTCACCTTCACCAGGATTCCGAAGGCGACGGAGGTCTCCAAACAGGTAAATTTTCTCTCGCCCGTCCTCATCGTGATTCTAATGCGCTATATGAATTTGCAGGAGCCCAATACGAAGGCCTATGGGTCGTCAGCGATCGCCAGCTCCTTACAGGCGCAGGTATGCAATAGAAAAGCTTTATGTGTTCTGAGGTTTTACCGCTGTACTATTCGCAACCAGGTCACCACTTCCAGTCAGGCGAGGACGTACACCACCCCGGAGGTCTTCCCCAGTTCGACGTCGTTCAAGGACCCCTCCACCGAGGCGTATGCGCTCGCCTCCAAGGCGGATGATGCGATCGCGTTCCAGATCGCGTTCGGCTCCTAGAAGGTTTGTTGTCCTTGCTTCAAATTCTTGCTGGCTAACAGAATACTGTCTTTCCAGAGCAAGATCACCACCAAACAGGCGGGGCAGGTCAAGCTCCTACTCATCCGGATCTCCTAGTCCAGTGAGAAGAGTAAGTAGCTGTAATACTTCTCAATCCTGTTTTTGTTTTCTCACTGCTGCAAAAGCAGAGATCACCTGTCCGGGGGGGAGCAAGGAAATCTACGAGAAGCAGAAGTCCAAAGAGGTATCCTTTCGCTGTCTTCGCTTTCCACTAACTTTCTCTTTGATTGTAGAGCTACCAGCAGCAGTCCCAGCCGAAGTCCTGTTTCTCCAAAGAACACCAACCAGTAAGCTCTCAAACTGCAATCAATTCAGAACAAGAACAGTCTTAATTCTTGAGGTTGTGACAGGGCAACGAAAGCCAAGTGAGCTGCGGGCTGCAAAGTCGATTCCACAGCGAGTCCCTCAACCTCTCTGCCCAGCATTTTTCCTGCATTATTTATTTTTGTATAGGCATGTTTAATAGCCTGCTTGCTTGCTTGCATTCTTTCTTTTCGACTTACTGATAGTTTGTTTGCGCTTGAAATTGCATGGCTGTGTGCTTTTGTCGAGATAGACTTTTGATGAAATACAACCTCTCTTTTGGCTTGGAGTTCGAGAGCACGGCTTTTTCGCGTTTGTTTCCAACGCCTGTGGCTACAAAGGATAAAGGTTTCCACATTTTCACACCTCTGCTTCAGAAACACAGCTTTGTGGACACCTTTGTTTTTGGCATTGGTCCCAGTAAATTGTTCTTGTGCTTCCTGGCAGATGATAAGGAGCTTGAGAGATTGACACCTCTGAGGCAAACATCATCCACCCAGAGGCAAGCTTGAACACGTCCTCAACAATGGCATGGTTAACATGCTTTGTAAAGATTATGGTTTTGTTTACCTGCGCCATCTTGCTGGGCCTCTCGACGATCTAGTTAATCTGTGTCCAGAAGGCACGTCATTAAAATGTTAAACCGAATTCAAAGCACCATTCGGAAATCAACTTTGACTATGGGTTGACCGGGCAAGCAAGACTTTGTCCCAATTGTTTTGCACGAGGGAAAAGGTGGCTGAAGCAGTGGTGAAGGTGCAAATTCCAACTTCATCACGTCACTTTTGCAAATGTGCCACTTGGGCTATGTTGAGATGGTTGTTATTATTTTGCTAAGTTTCTATATGAAACCATGAACTATTTAGGAGGAGCCAGAGAACGTCGCCTTGAGCTGCCGGACCGCATTCTCATCAATAAAGAACGTCTTGACGAGCACCTCGTCCAGGATGTCCGATCCAAACATGGAGCTTGCAATGAGCTGGATGCCCGGTGACTGCGAATCCAGCGTCACCACGGCCATGGCGGTGGTGTTGCCAACGTTGAGCTGCCAGTGGATCAAACCCCGCGGGAAGATCATCACGTCGCCTTTGGAGATGACCCGAGCAAAGAGCTGGTTCTGGGTGGTGACGAATCCGGCGTACAAGCTCCCTTCCACGACGTAGATGATCTCTGAGCCTCGCGGGTGCGTGTGTGGAGGGATGAGACCGCCGGGAGCAAAGTCGAGCCTGGCTATGGCGAGGCCGAGAGTGTTGAGCCCCGGATAATCGTTGATGAAGCCAAATGTCGCCACGGCTCTCGATGGGACGCTGGTGTTTCCGGAGTTTCGAAGGCCCGAGAAGATGAAATCCTCGGTGGTGGTGTTGGCTGCTCGCTTGCAAGGGTAGCCATTGAGAGTGAGGTCCTTTGCGAGGTCGGCCACGCAAAAATCCTGGAGGGGATCGGGGTCGGAAGCTGTGATCACCTGGAAGATTGGTGCCGCAATGACGAGAAGTTGGAGGAGTGTGAACATCATCGTGTTTTTGAACTTGAGGAAACAAACGATCCTGAGAAGAATTAAAAGAAGAGTGGATCTCTTTTTTGAGAAGTACCTTGAGTTGTGAGATGGTATTTAAAGGATGGAAAGGCGTGGGTGGCAAGACAATGTGGAGGTTCCACGAAGGAGAAGTTGCGATAATCTGTGTTGACAATGTGGAAGGTCCTGTTTGACACGCCATGTTTTAGAGATGTTTTAGATCCACAAGTTCCTGCTTTCATGGATGCATTCTTTTTTGAAATAATCTTTGTACACGTCAGCCTGCTTATATCTTGACCTAGTGAGTTCTTTAAGGGTTAAAATATGATAACAATCTGGGTATATTTTAATTTCATTTTTATACCCTAAAATTACATTGCGAGGCATAGACTACGTTCATTCCCTTCATTCGGCAATCGTTTTTATCGTCTCAGCAATCCCCCGGCCTCTAATTTCCCATCCGGATCGTTCTATGCTAGAGTGTGGAAAGTATAACAAAAGACAGCTTCAAATCGGAGAATCTTAAAGAAATCAATAGTGTATTAAAAAATGATATATAAAATGCGCTATATAAGGTCAATAGGAAGACCGTACAGGATTTATTTTTACTTTCAAGTGAACTATTTAGGAAAATGTAGCCTTGAGCTGCCGAACTGCATTCTCATCAATAAAGAAGGTCTTGACGAGCACCTCGTCCAGGATGTCCGATCCAAACATGGAGCTTGCGATGATCTGGAAGCCCGGTGACTGCGAATCCAGCGTCACGATGGCCATGGCGGTGGTGTTACCAACGTTGAGCTGCCAGTGGATCAAACCCCGCGGGAAGATCATCACGTCGCCTTTGGAGATGACCCGAGCAAAGAGCTGGTTCTGGGTGGTGACGAATCCGGCGTACAAGCTCCCTTCCACGACGTAGATGATCTCTGAGCCTCGCGGGTGCGTGTGTGGAGGGATGAGACCGCCGGGAGCAAAGTCGAGCCTGCCTATGGCGAGGCCGAGAGTGTTGAGCCCCGGATAACTGTGGACGAAGCCAAACACCGCGTCGGCTCTCGATGGGCCGCTGGTGTTTGCGGAGTTTCGAAGGCCCGAGAAGATGAAATCCTCGGTGGTGGTGTTGGCTGCTCGCTTGCAAGGGTAACCATTGAGGGTGAGGTCCTTTGCGAGGTCGGCCACACAAAAGTCCTGGAGGGGATCGGCGTCGGAGGCTGTGATCACCTGGAAGATTGGTGCCGCGATGACGAGAAATTGGAGGAGTGTGATCATCATTGTGTTCTTGAGTGATCCCTGGAACTTGAGGAAACAAACGAGAGAGCAATGCTATGAATTAGAAGAGTGACCTCTTTCTTTGATTGAGTTGTGAGATGGTTGTGAAAGTATTTAAAGGATGGAAAGGCCTGGAGAAGGTTCCATGAAACACAGCAGTTGCGATGGGATCCGTCACTCTGTGTTTGACAATGTGGTGCTCTGCCCACGTTTTATATATTACTTCTTGTATCCTTTGAAGTGGGCCACTACTTATTGAATAAATCTTTGCAGCGTTAGTTGACTCACAATGTGTGTGATGTTTTTTTTAGTCTTAAAATCGGAAACAAAATTAGATATTCTAAAGAAAATCTGGAAGGTGCCAAAATTGGTAACAATCAATGCTGAGAAGGTTCAGATTCTGAAGTTAGTATGTTCTGTTGGTATTTTCTAAAGCCTCCACTGATCATGTTGGTATTATAACTCATAGTGCTGGAAGTGGGGAGAATTGTAGCATGGTTGAAAAGCAGCTACTTTGTCTGGCAAGGAACAGAACGGAGATTGTGGTTCTAGACGAAGCAATTGCCTCAATCGATGGTTTGGTGCCACGGAGAGAATCACAAGAAAATATAAGCGAGCATTCAAGGGAGTACTGTGGCTCACAAGCTCTTTACCATCTTGCGAACACAGACTGCATTTTGGTTCTTCAAGACAGTACGAGTTTTCCATGATTTTCTCTTTTGTTTCTCTCAACTCGTTTCTTTTTCTTTCTCGTGATATACAGGAGAGATAGTCAAGTAGACATGCTCTCAAGTAACCTTCCTTGGCATTTGCCACTTTTTTTGCAAGTCCATCAAGACCTCCAGCATGATTAGATCTTGCTTATTAAACATGTCATACATAACTATATACAGACAATTGTTTCAGAAAAAAAACAACATCCTGCTGTGCTAATGGTGAAATGAAACGAAAGTTCAAAAATATCACACCTTGAGAACTTTTACCTGTGGCCATTTTCACCGCACAAGATGCGACACATACAGTGGACACGAGCCGAGACCTCAATTTTGCCACGTATGGAAAGTCAAATTTGCCACGTTATACAATCCCCACTCCGTATAAATACCTGTGTGTCATTTGCCATCAAACATCAAAGAAGTAGCTCATTGTTGCACTGTTGAATTTTTTTCTAGCTAGCTCCCAGCTCAAAACAATGGCACTCGTCACAGGCAGCGGTATCGCAGCTCTCTCTTCTTCCTCGCTCATCTCCAACAAGATCCATGTCCAATCGCAATCATCCACAACCTCCATCGGGACAAGAAATCTAGTAGTAGTAAGAGCGTCCTCGAACAAATCAAGGGATGGTGGCGATGGCGGCATCAGTGGCGTTCTCGACGGCACCAAGAAGGAGATCACCCGCGAGGAGGTGCTCAAGAACCAGGCCGAGAACGAGTCGGAGAAGCGCTCCGTGTTTGGAGCCGTCCCATCGTCCGGATCCTTCTATCCCAGGCCAGAGGTCGAGAGGCGACCAGAGACTGGCGATCGATCGTTCCCCAGCTTGATGGCGTTCGATGGAGCCGGCCCGGAAACGATCAACGGAAGACTGGTAAGCGATTGGTGATTTTTCTTCGCGTTTTTTTCTAGATCAACCAAGTAAGTAACGTGAACTTGTCAAACAGGCAATGGTAGGATTGGTGTGGGCATTCGCGGTGGAGCGAATGACGGGACAAACGGTGGCGGAGCAGCTCTACTCGCCGGGGAGCACTGGTCTTTTCCATTTTCTGGCGGTGGCACAGCTATTCGCGTACGCGTCGCTGGTGCCCATGTTTAAGGGCGAGAGCCCGGACAGCAGATCGCTTGGGCCATTTAGAGCCATGGCGGAGCGCTGGAATGGGCGAACCGCGATGCTTGGCTTCCTCGCCTTGGTGATCACCGAGTTTTTCACCAAGACTCCAGTGTTTCACATGATGTAAATTTAATGGTTCCTAGTTTTAACTGTTCTAGATTTTCACTTCAGTCCATTGAAGCTATCATGTTTCTTTACAAAGATTGCTGCGTGAGAACGATGCTCTTTCGAATCGAAATTGACAAAGATTCTTGTCGCTAGAGTTCTCAAGCTCCAACGAAACACCATCCCCGAGATCCCCGCCCGCAAGAACCCTAAAAACTTGATGGAGCCACACCCTGGCAGTGTGTTCAGTCTGGAGCAGCCGCTGGTCCAGGTAGAGCAAGGCAGGGTCAAGAAATTCGGTGGCGATGGCGCCCTCGTGAGCGAAGACGTGTCACATTTCCTCCTGGGTGAGCTTCTTTTCGTGGCTCCTCACGGCTTTGCTCTCCAACTTACTCACGCGATTCTCTCCAAAGCCCGGAGAGCTCATCGACGGAGAACCACGGAAGTACAAAGCCAAAGCCACCTCCGCTCACTGTGAGCAGGAGCTTAACTACGTGATCAAATGCTACACTTGCGATTTCAAGCTAGACAAGAGTCTTCCCAGCGCTGTTCTTGTGGTGGTGCAAGGCGGGCGGGACGAAACCAAGTGGCCGGACTGCATGTACCAGGCACTGAGCCAGGCGGGCATGGGGGCAGCGATCAGGAACTCGTCGGCAAACAGGCTCCACTTGGTTTCGATCTCTGTCATTGGGGCTGTGCAGAGATCCATCCTCTCGGCTACGTGATGGTCAAGCCTGGCAAGCCCGGAAACAAGATCTCGAGCAGCAGCGTCAAGGAATTCAGACGTCAGCTTGAATCCAAAGGGACGATCAAAAGCGGTAGTGCCAAGCTCCTCTCGGAGAGCTTCCAGCGCTATCTAGATAAGAAGAGCTTGTTGGTGGAGCTGGAGGAACAAGTGAGGCTGCGAACTGAGGAGGCGGCCAGGGCACTCAACGCCAGGCTCGTTTTTGACAAGATTGTGCACAACGAGGAGATCGAACGCAGCTTCTCGCCTGTGACTGAGAAGATAAGACTGCTGCTCGTAGGAACGATTGTTTGTGACAGCACGGTCTACGAGAGCAGCATTCTGAGCTTCCCGGTGGCGCGCAAGGTAAGCGCCAATGACAAGCTTCTTGTTTCGGGTCTCCTCCGGATGTTTTTTGGCAACCGGGTGCTGCACTGGACGCTCCTCGGGATCCAGACACTGGTTGCCACACGCGACAAAGAGCTGGAAGAGAGAGTGGATGCTGTGCTAATGGCATAGCCTTTGTTACTTTGACGTAGAGTTTCGTGCTGCCGAGAATCGATAGCCATGAACAATTGAACAACCATCACGACGAAAGGGTCGAAGTTTGAGATCTTGCTTAGAACTAGGAGACCATCATGTTCGCTGCAAGGACATAACCAGCAGCTCCTCTCGGATCCTTGTCAATGACATTCTTGGCAGCGAAATTCCCAAACCCAACGGTCTGTAGCTCCTACATGCCCCCAAGAGGCACTTCCAGTCCACAGTCTCGGGCTCGAAGGGCATGGCTTTGAGCAGCTCCTGGGCAGAATGCAAATGCCCCCCCAAGACATCGATCATGCACGGAAAGTGGAGCTTCACGGGCTGTACATGGAAGTCCATCTCTATCGACACGAAGCAAGATCTTGCCGCGTAGACGCTGCCAACGTGGCTGCATGCCACGAGCGCACAGCCAAAGCATCCATCCACGGACACGTCCATGGCGTTCATGGAGTGGAAAATGTATAGTGCCTCGTCGGACCTGCCGTTGTGTGCGTAAGCTGCAAGCAGTGTGGTCCATGCAACCACGTCCCTTTCGGGCATACGCAGGACCCGCAACGACCAAAATGCCCATTAAGGGCAAATGCGGTCATAAAAGCAGTCCACGTCACCAAATCATGATTTGTACCGTCTTCTACACAGCCATTTTCCGCAAACGCGCTGACCATTGCCGTTTTTATTTCAGTGCTCTCAATATGTACAAGTTGTTTTGCCTCGTCTAGGTGCCCCATTTGGGCGTATGCAGAAATTAATGCGCATAATGGTAGTGTTTTGCTCCGGCATAGTCTCAAAAAGATTCTGGCTTAAGTATAAATATAAATATATAGGTTGGAAACTTAATAAAGGAAAAAAAATAAAATCCATTGATTCCATTTATTTCGAAATGTTTCGTTAAGAAAAGAATGAACATTCATTAGACTCTATTAAATGGAGTGGGCGAAGATTTTATTTTTCTTATATATGATGGATGATGGAACTATTGTTGTAATAGCCTATTGACTGCTTTCCATATTGAGTTTGGTGTTTCATTTTATTTGCATTTTTTAAAAAAGTGATACTTTTAAAAAATATAGCATTTTTAGTGTAGATGTTAATGAAAGTAAATGCCAAGATATTTTCATGTCTTTAATTCGTTTAGCTTTGTAATTTTTTTTTTATAAATTCATGATGCTCGGTAGAGAAACCTTTAGATTATTTACTAATTGGTAAAAGGAAAAACTAATTGCACTATATTCTTTACATAAATATATATGTTTATAATTTATATATTTATATATATAGAGAGAGAGAGAGAGAAAGAGAGAGAGAGAGTTTTATAATAAACAGAAAAAATGCAACTTATAAATAATTCACACAAATCCACTAAATCCATAAACAGCTGAATCAAGTCCAAGGGATTATAAGAAAATGATTCTTTAAACTTCTTATAATCATTAAATTTGAGGAGTCTAATTCTTATGTGTTCAAATAAATAAAGTGATAGTGGGCATTGGATCCCAGGCCTAGGCCAGGTTTGTTGATGTTTGGATGGCCAATCAATAACAGGCACACTGGCTAAAAGGGAAGAAGCTCATTACATGTTGTGGGTAAAATCCATGGATTAGAGAAAACATGCATTGGTCCAAGAATCACATTGCACCTAGGACAAGAGAAATCTACCCACTGCCCTGGATCCATTCCCAATAATATGTACTTTTAGCATTGTCAAGTGTGATGAAGGATGATTGTGTTGAGAATTGCATTGGGCTCATGCCACATAAAGTCTACAGTTGCCCACAATCATTTGGAATCAACATTTCTATGGTTACTACATCACAACTTGATGCTTCTACCTTTGGAATTGACCAGCACTAAAATTACTCCAAAGTTTCCAGG